AGAAATGAAAATATTTCTTTCTTTTCTTTTCTTTCTTTTTCCTTTCTATTTTTTTTCAAAATTCGCTTTGCAAAATGGATTGTGTTATTTGTATTTTAAAAAAAACAACAACTTGAAAGTTAGTTGTAAAAGAATTAGTTTGATTCGTAAATAAATCTCCGGTAAAATAATCCAAGAGTAAATTTTTGGAATGCCTAGAAATTATTCCTTTAATTTTTTCTTATAGTTAACTTGAATTACAAAAATATTTTTGAATAAAATCATTGTAATTTTTTTTAAGTATATTTATTTTATTTCTTCACTATTTATTTGTTCGTTTAATTTTATTAATTTATTTTTGAATTTTACCCAATTTTAAAACATTTATAGTTTTTTTTCTGAGAATTTTACTAAGTCTTATACTCTTAGTAACACTTTAATTTTTTTGAATAAAGCAAGAACATTTTTTCTAGCAAGAATTTTCTCATACTTTATTTTTAGTATTTTCCCATTTTATTTCACGAAAATAGTTGTATACAAAAACTTGTAGAACCGAGCGAAAGTAAAGTAGTGGCCAATATAAAATTAAAAATCTTAGTTCGAAAATGGAACGATTTTCTTTTTTTAACTTCTTGTTAACTACCGCTTATAAAAAGTCGGTATTTTTTAAAATTTCCTATGTCCAAGGCCGGACTGTCCATAAACCTGGAAAAGCGAGCACCCCCTGGGCATCAGCCAAAGTGGTGGGTCTTCCTTAAAAGTAGGGACCCTCTAACCTCGTTTTTTTTTTTTTTTTTTNGTAATTGGTTTGGGTTTTTTTTTTTTTTTTTTTTTTTTTTGGAAAAAAAAAAAGCATTTCAAATAAAATCTATATAGTTTTAAAACATACTTTGTCGTTATTTTTTCTATTATTGGCATTAAGAATAAAATATTTATTTAATGAATAAGTTTGCAACTACATGAGTGCATCACAATTTAAGTATCTATAGGGAACTGCATCTTCATCCTGATGCTTGTGCATAAAATTCTAAGAGTACAAACCAGGGCCCCTGTACAAAATTTTGAGACCAAAGGGCCCCTTGCAAACGATTCCCTCCTAAAAATAGGAAGAAGAAAAAAGGGAAAAGCACTTCTGCGCAAAATGATATTTTATCTTCGCAATGTTGAATTATGAAACAAAAAGAAGAAAAAAACCTGCATACAATTGCGTAATAATATGCATAAAATTATGAGTTAATAGACTTTTGATTGTACATACCCGTGCCCAACCTACAAAATATTTGAAACCAATATTTCAAAATGTTTGGAATCACGGGGACTTTAAAAATTTGCTCCCTCTCCCCTAAAAATGGAAGAAAGAAAAAAACCTTTGCAATGATGAATTATGAAATAAAATAAAAACATACTTAATAATGCGGCATAATAATATGCATTGAATTCTGAGTCAGCATGCTTTTGGTAGTAGAACCCGGGGCCCTACCTGCAAAATATTTGAATTCTAAGGGATCTTAAAAGTCAGCCCTCACCCTAAATTCGAAAGAAGGCAAAAGAAAAAAAAAAGGAAAAATACTTCAACGCACAAAGATGCTTCAACTTCACAATGACGAATAAAGAAACCAAAGCATGCTTACTATTGTCGCAATAATATTTACTTCTGTTTAACATTTTAATGACCATTATTAATTTTCTGTTTTATATTTTAGTAATTAACAGAAAAAAAGTTTAAATATATTATGAAACTTGCAGTTTGATTAACGCTAATTTAAGAAAAATTGATAAGCTTAAACTCCTTGAAAAAAAATTACATCTATCACACCCAATTTTGCATAATTCATTGGCGTACGCACAGTACAGATCGGATGGTCCCCCCATTTTTTTTAAACCTTATAATTAACAGAATTTATAATCTATAATCAAATTTAGTTAAAATCAGGAAAAATCAAAGCGATACATTATTTTGTAGTTCTTCCTCTTTTTTTTCTATTCAAATATTTCCTTTCTCTTTGGTTAAATCTTTCCTTTCAGCCAATGCCATCAAGGTAATTAATGCCTTTTCAAAGAGGAAGGGAAATTGAGGAGTTGTCACTATGTTTCTGGGAATTTAGGATCCCTTAAGAATACACTGTTTCAGTTACTATTGAATTTTCTCACACATAGTGTCCAGAAGGGGACGAAGAGGAAGTTATTTTGAGGACAATTTGTCTGAAATATATGGGGGGTCTCAACATTCTTTTGGTTACACAGATTTATCTTCTTTTTCCTGAACTTTTCACGACTCTCATGCAGCTAAAATTTGTATTTGAATTGGAAACAGTTTTTAAGCTGTTTTCATCTGAAACTACTGCAAAAATTACTAATTAATGTAAATTACTGCAATATCTCTGAATAATGAAATAAGATGAACTAAACCAACTGATTTTTGCTGATTTCAGATTGGTTTTGTAATGAAAAATATTTACATAAATGCTGATATCTCATAGTATTCATAACAATGAATGCATTTTAATATTTTTTGCTGATTCGAAAGATCATTAGTTTTATTGTCTTTACTTTTTTTACAAAATATTATTTTCACGTATCGGTTTTTAAAAGTTGAAATGCACGTCTCAGTGGAAAATTCAGGGCAAACATTTTTGCTTCTTTTAAATATTAATTGAGTAGAAACAAAACGCATTAAGAAATTTTTTGGGTTGCACAAGTTTAAACGACGTTTGAAACAGTTTTGATGATAGTCTACGGCTGAGAGAAAATAAAATATTTCAGAAACAGAAAAAACTAGTTTTCTTATTGATAATAATTAAATTAAGGTCTAACAAAACTAGTTTTTTAATTTTTTTACAATAAATTCGAAAATAAACACTGTCGACTAAAATGTAAGTGCTTTAAAATTGAATATAAAATATTCAGTTCATTAAAGAATGTTTAAAATTTCTCACAAATTTTGCAAATCAAGTTGCGAAGCTAAATTAATAACGCTTTATTATACTAATTTTTTTTCTGAATTTTAATTTTATTTCTTCTAATTTTAATGTTTTCATTAAATTTTTTCATTTCCAAAAAACTGAGGACAATTTATTATTTCAAGAGGCCTCTAATTCAAATGCCCCACTGGGCCCTGAACTCCCAGTCCAACCCTGCATAAGTCGGCATTTGTTACATAAGATGGTAATTTTTTTATTACATGCGTTAGTAATTTTTTCTCATACATAAGTACTTTTTTTTTTCTTTTTCATAATCTGGTATTTTTTTTATGACATAAATCGGTATTTTTTTCATTACATAAGTTTAATTTTTCTATTACATAAGTCGATATTTTTTCCATTGCATAACTCAGTATTTTCTCGATGACAAATTATTATTTATTTATATTTAATTATTACAATTATTATTATCGATCTTTTTTCTATTACATTCATTTATTTTTTTTCTGTAAGTTAGTAAATTTTTATTACAAAAGTCGTTTTCGTTCTATTACATAAGTAGTCTGTGCAGTCTATATTGAGAGTGCGAACTACTTTTATAGCACCCTATGTTCAAACTTGCGCATTGTTGCACAAGGGAAGGAACCGTGGGTACAATAAGGGATGTAGCCGAACCCGTTCGAAGTTCCGCTACTTTTAAGCGAAGCGGAATGTGGTTCTGGAATTTTAATGAACATATTATTAATTTTATAACCTTAGCTATTTTTTTATTGAGAAAAAAAAATTTGTATTATCTGTTCATAGTAGTACTAACAAATTGAATGCTTTGTTATTGTGATAAGTTTGAAAGCAACTGGGTTAGATTAAGACGATAAGTCTATTTAAAAATTAGCCAACAATTTAACCCTGTATTTCTAAATTTAGACTACGATTATAATATTTCATTCCCTTATAGCTTTTTCTAGGAATAGTGCTTGATAAAAAAGAAAACGATAACTTAGAATGAAAATGTTTTAAACAGTTTAAAGCTAATTTATGAATTATAATTAGTTTTAAATTAATTAATTTTTTGTAAAGTTTTTAATTAGTAAAATTTTAGTTGTTTTTAAATTAATTTAATTTTTTAATTTTTTTATTGTTTATTTTTTTAATTAAAAGTGTTTTAAATTGCTCGGTATAATTAGTTTTAAATCAAATTTAAAAAAATTAAATTTTAAATTATTTTTAAATTTTTTTAATTGTTTAAATTTTTTATTGTTTATTTTTTAAATTGAAATGTTTTAAATTGTTTGAAACTAATTAATTGCAATTGGTTGTAATTATTTTATTTTTATATTTAATTAGTAAATTTTTACTTATTTTTGAATTTTTTAAATATTTTAGTCTTTATTATTTATTTTTTAATTGAAAATTCTTTTAATTGCTTAAAACTAATTAATTACAATTGGTTTTAACTAATTTTTTCATTTTTAATTATTTTTAAATTTTTTAATTGTTTAACTTTTTTTTTTTTATTTTTGTTTAATGAGTTTCACTAGGCAAAGCACCCATGTATTGTAAATCGATTTTTAGAAAGGAAAAGGAAAAATTAATAGGCAAACAAAAATGTTTAGAACTGTGTAGCGGTAAATGGAGAGAAAAATTATGGTGGCTGCAACCAAAAAAATAAAATATATAAATGAAAATACTTTATTAATTTTAGATGATTTGATCAGTGTTGTTCAAAAATTACGTTACAGTGCAGCTTCGGAAAGAAAATTGTTTAAAACTACAGCATTGGGTACATGCCTACTATTAAATAAAGTTTAGTTCAATAAATAAAAATCTATCCCCCAATATTTCAGACAAAAAAAAATGATTATGAATTGTTATCGATTTAAAGTCAGTTCTTTTTTTTTCTTCTTGAAACATTTATCCATTCAAATTGTATATAACGATAATTTAGTTTATAAAATTAGTGAAGTTTTATTTTGAAAAAATAGTAGATGATTATTTATTCAAATAAAACATGTGTTTTAACTCGAAATTATCACAAATATTTTCTGTGGAATTTTGTTAATAATAATTCCTACATTCTTAACTTCATTTTTCTTTCACTAGATGGCGCTACATCTTTTACACATCCGCTGGATTCTCTCACATAATAGGCCAAGTGTTTTTGATGAATTCGGACTTCACTTCTAACGTGACTTTTACGCTGGGAATACAAACTCAGAAAGCTCCGCAAATTGTTTACATCCGTGGACCAAAAATTATACCTGTTTCACGGTAAGTAATGTTTATGTTTTCTTGAAGAGTTTGTTTCATTTTTGCTTGATGACGAAATAAAAGCATTGTGTTCGTGAATTATTTTTTAAAAACCGCAGCCTTATTCAATAAGGCTGCGGTATAAGGAGGGTCATTCTCGTTTAATTCATCCCACACACTTCTAATTTTTTTTCTCCCCTCCCCCCTCCTTTGCGATTTTCTTCCTCTTCTATACATGCTGAAAAAGTAAACATTAAATAGCATCTTACGTTGAAGAATAATTAATTAAAGACAGCTCAACATTTTTATTTTTTGACCAACTCTTTTTTATTATTATTATTTTTAAAAAGTGGCTTATTTTTTCGACTAATATTATTTATTAATTTCGTTTAAGTGGCTAATTTTTAATTTTCTGAATACAGAAATTACAGAACGCTAATTAACAAACATTCATTACCTTATCTCATTAATAATATTGCTCTTTATTCTTAATTGTTGTAAAAAGTAGAATATTACTTAAAATATTTTTAAACCTCTACTATATAAGTCCATCTAGCACTAAGTCGAATCAAGACATAGAAATTTCCTTTCTTTGCAATATCAGTTCCAAAAAATAAAACATTTACTTGCTTATAAGTTTTTAATTATTTAATATTTAAAAAAAGAGAATTTTTTTTATTTATAATTAATAGGTGTTTTGATTTGACTTATTAAAAGTAAATATTAAATACCAACAGCCCTACAATAGGCAACTGTGGGTCTCGGAGGTCATGCACGTTAAAGCTTCCCAATTTCATGACCAATAGTATGAGAATGGCAATAAGGTAAACATTGCATACCGGCCACTTATATATCCCAGACTAAATGCTACCCATCGAAGGTGTACTCGTACTTGTCACCAATTGTAAGACACTGGTTCATTACGATGTGTTGTGTTGTCGAATCATCTCTATTTAATGTAATTATATTAAGATTTTATAAAAATTATTTTATCTTCAAAACTATTGAAAACTGAGGCTTTGTGTTCGATTGGGTAACATCCCATAAATCATCCCATTTATTTATTTTTGATGGGAAATCTTCTCTTACCTTAATATTTTCGTTAATCCTCATCCTCCTCTCACAAAATCTCCTCGTTTGCATTCATGTACTATAATTAGTGCAATTTTTAATTTCCAAAATAGTTTTGATTATCTTTATAATAATATCTGCTCTGCCCAACCCAGCTTGAACCATATTTACTCTTTTATCTTTAAAGAAAGGAAAAAAAGCTTTAAAAAAGTATTGAGGGTAATTGTCTAACAAATTTTAAATTGTTGATATCTTTCAACGAAAATTAATAAGCTGTGTGCTTAATAAGCTGTGAATATTGTTTAAGGAAGTGGTATCATAAAATGTTTCAACTGTAATCTTCATTCATGAATCATCAAACCACAGCGGAAGTAATGATTTCGATTGTATTTTTATTTGCCTTGCAAAGAACATCTGCTTGTCAAACACTCTCGATTTATCTCTTGCATTTAAGCGTCTCGATTCCTGGACTTAAGATTTCCGGGAATTTAGAATTTCTCTGAAGCATCCTGTTTTTTCTCTTCTTTTTTTTCTCCTGGAAAAGGAATTTATTCTAAAGAATTTCAAATATTTAAGCGTAGACAAAAAGTTTTTTTTAATATATTATGGTTGAGACAATCTTAAATTTACCTGTAGGTTTCATTATTGCACGTAAATTTAACAACAAGTAAAAAATAATAATTAGGTTAAAATTGTTTAATTTAAAATGATGCGTTCATAATTGCTTCCGAAAGATATCTAAATAATATAATAAAGAAATAAAATTTGAGTTAGCTGTTTGCAGAACAGTCTGTGCTTTAAGTACAATAATAAGGAAAGCGCTGTTATTTAGTGGTTTTATTAAAATCGTTTTTATTTTTTTTAAATTTGGCCAAAATTTATTACTAAAATAACTGCTATTTACATTCATATTTATTTTAAGAAATATGTCGAATTTCGAACAATTTACAAATCCACTTGCTTAAGTACATCACTA